AACTGGAGAAGACGTGGAGACAGGGTTCTCCCATGAAGAAGCGAACGCGAGGGACAATTTGACGATACTTAGTTTAGCCTCACGCTCGGGCAAAGTCGTGACATCTAGAACTTTTCACCGCCTATCGTTTGGCAGCGTGAGCACATTTGTGGGAGTGAATGCAGGTGTAAATGCTGAGCTTACATTCTGCTCTTTCTTGAGGCTTCGATCAGAACGTCAGCTACATGCAAGATATATAGGTCATGAATCCAGTACGAAGAACTGCGCCTGTGTACATATGCCCTGGGTTCGTGAATTTTGCGTGGGATGGCGATTGCCACGTGGGTCGCTAAGCCGAGCCTCATCGGTGCTACTCGAGAAAGGGCTTAGTGTCAATTTCTGCAGGTTCCATCGTCCACGATCCCATCTTCGGTCAACCCCGGCAAGCTTGAGTCGCGCCAGCAAAAATAACCTTGAAACATCTTGGTATACCCTATCTGGAATTTCCTCAGCGACACGTTGATTGTAGCACTAGTGGCTTGGGATCGCTTTGCGCGATATGGTGCCGAAGCTGCTCAGCCCACTATGCCTAGCACGATCGCTCGCGACCATGTTTTTTACTTGTTTGGTAAAGCATGGAAGCTGCTCGTGCAATCGTCGCCGACTACTTCCATCTACCACGCCTTAGTCGTCGCGCTAGCTAAATCCCGATAGGCACTTCTTCTCTCAAGTCGCGATCTCAGGTAGCCGTATGCTCAAAACATATGACTAGGTAATTGTGACTATACTCAGCATACGTTCTAGCAGAAAGATCTCTAGGATTGCCAGATCATCGTTGCGATTGGTCTCTCGCTACAGTCGTCTTGCCCCCAGGCACAAAGACATACTCTTCATAGTGGAAATGAAATCATGATTCATATACACGATTACTGCACCAGTTCATTGGAATGATAAATTCTTGAAGCTCCTAACCCCGGAAAGGTTCATCGTGCATTCCGTTGTCTACTATGTCAAGACATGAGTGAATGACGCTTCCAGTGAACATAGGCTACCTAGGTACACTTTCCTCGTACTCAAATCGCAAAGCAGAATTCACTTCGGGGCTACGGAACCCAGTTCATAGAACGTCGCTCCTGTTCTGCGCCCATACGTATCTGTACCGACTCGAGCATGTTGTTTGGAATCAGATCGTAATTACTCCTTGCTTCTACTTGTTCGTGCTTCATGTTACTGTCGCTTGTATGTATCATCTAGTCCATGATTGGCAACATGGCTTACAAGGCTATGCTGATGGATGGTCGAACATACGAGCCGATTTTACAAAGGTCAGGAGGAACTGGTGTAGTTGGGGAAGACAACGATAAGTCGTTTCGTCTTAGCGCTCATTACCTTAGAAAGAGGGGTACGGCTCACTTCTAGCCTGTCTGGTCCTCGAAGGGCAGTAATCGGCTTTGGTGAGAACTACTCGGAGATAAATACTTCTTTATTAACGATGGGCAAACTACTGATGATAAGACGACGCGTAACAGGAACTGACTCCAGAAGTGGGGTGTGGGCTAGGGATGGGCAAAGCAGGAAGGAGCTTTCGGGTACCCGATGTCCGGACCTAATCCGCCCCACCAACGAAATCTTATCAGATCCATCTAATAATCAACATATAGCGGCCAGCAAATACACAATTTGATCAGAGGCCCGCGACCTTCTTGTTTAATGTGTTTGCCGTTACCATGGCTACAGTAAAGAATCTGCGCATAGGCGTTGACGTTGGCGGGCAAGTACTACGAAAATGAGCTACAGGTGTCAAGAGACTAACGCTACGCACAGGACGAACACTGATGGAGTCATCATCGATCCTACAAAGTCCAGTGAAGATGGAAGAGGGATTGTTGCTTGGTACGAACGCGATTCTTGCACGTTCATCGACACGTGTCCTTGTTTATCCCCTTCATCACGAACTTCAACGAACACATACCGCAAGATTCATCCAAACGGAATACAATTTTGTTGAAGATGAGAGCTCATATCAGGATTTAGGCACAAGGCTCCTACCACTACCAACCCAAGCCATGGCATTGCCGACGCCATCACCACCATGTTCAGATCTGCATCTGTAGACCCATCCTCAGTTGCGAGCGTGACGATAGGAACCACCCATTTCGTCAACGCTGTAGTGACTCGTGATCGGACACGCCTCTCACAAGTCGCTGTACTCCGTCTTTCCGGACCTTTCAGCAAACACGCACCACCATGCATCGACTGGCCAGCTTCTCTGCGGAACATTATCCTCGGGCATTACGCTCTCATCAAAGGAGGCTTAGAAGTGGATGGCAGTTTGATCTCCGACATCAGAGAACAGGAGATTGTGGAGCAATGCAACATTGTCAAAGAGAAAGGAATCAAAAGCATAGTAGTGAATGGTGTCTTCAGTCCGATCGATACAGTCGAGAAGCAAGAAGAGCGTGCCGCCGAAATTATCAGGCGCGAACTAGGAGAAAATATCGATATCGTCCTTAGCAAGACAGTCGCTAACCTTGGATTTTTGGAGCGCGAAAATGCCGCGATATTGAACGCCTCGATTTTGTCCTTTGCTAGAAAGACGATAGCATCATTTCAGACACCAATCAAGGAACTCGGACTGAGCTGCCCCGTCTTCATCACTCAGAACGATGGTACGATACTAAGTGGCGAAGCAGCAAGCCGGCTGCCTATCCGAACTTTCTCATCTGGACCAACGAACAGCATGCGTGGCGCTGCTTTCCTTGTTGGGAGGCAGGAGAACGGCGGAGCAGTGATGGTCGTCGACGTCGGTGGAACGACCACTGATGTGGGCTTATTGCTTGCGAACGGCTTTCCCAGGCAGCAAGCCGCATACTCGGAACTGTCTGGAGTTAGGATGAATTTCTCGTACCCCGATGTGAAAAGCATAGGACTGGGAGGTGGTAGCTTGGTGAGAAAAGTTGGAGAGAGATTGCAAGTAGGACCAGAGTCAGTGGGGTACCAGCTACCAGAAAAGGCGCTCGTCTTCGGTGGAAATGTTCCTACAGCAACTGACTACGTTGTAGCGTCTTCACCTGATGTCACAATAGGCCAACCGGAAAACGTGCAAGGAAAGCTGCAGGCAGACAACGTACAAGCATTTCAAGCTGAGACAAAGATCATGCTTGAAAACATCATTGACAAGATGAAGACATCGCCTGATGATCTCCCGGTTCTGCTCGTCGGTGGTGGTGCGGTGATAGCTCCAGATGAACTAAAGGGAGCGAGTAAAGTGACAAAACCTCAATGGTCGGGTGTAGCCAACGCTATCGGTGCTGCTATGGCGCGTGTCAGTACTGTCATCGATACTGTCAAGTCAACAGAGAAGCAGACTCAGAAAGAGTTACTAGCTGAGATATGTGAGGAAGCTAAACAGAAGACTATCGAAGCAGGCGCCTCGGCGACAACGGTTGCCATTGTTGAGGTGGAAGATCTTCCGTTGCAATATGTCGCCAACAAAACACGTTTTATGGTCAGAGCTGCAGGAGACTTCGACTTCTCAAGGGCAGGGGATTTCGCAGACCTGAATATCACTAAGGAAGAAGATGGCATAGAGACCAGGTCGAGCGCAAGCGATGCCATCGCGGCGCCTTCGAGCGAAGATGCAGCTGACCAGGTCGACGTAACACCGGAAGTTGACATCATGGGGTATAAGCCAAAAGTGGCTAACCGAGAGTGGTGGATATCAGAGACTGATCTCGACTGGATCACCATCGGTTGCTACATCCTAGGTACCGGCGGTGGAGGTTCTCCATATTCCACTATGCTCCGAGTACGTGGTATCCTTCGATCTGGTGGAAGCGTTCGCGTCGTAAGTCCAGATGACCTCAAAGACGATGCGCGAGTAGGAAGCGGCGGCGGCGCTGGCAGCCCAACAGTCGGAATCGAGAAGCTGTCTGCCGACGAGTAAGTTTCGTATCGATATGATACTCTGCATTTATTGATGCTTGTGCAGAATGATGGACGCTCAAACCCACCTCTACGATCTCATCAAGGGTGGTTACGCGACACATATCATACCTTTAGAGATTGGCGGCTCGAACGGGTTACAGGGTCTCGTCTTGGGTGCATCGACTAACATGAACATACCATGTGTAGATGGCGATTGGATGGGCCGAGCATATCCTACAAAATGGCAGACAACGCCAGTTGTGTTCGGTGAGCGAGAAATCGTGTTTGCACCAGTCGCAGTGGCTGATGGAAACGGCAACACGCTATATATGCCCACTGCAACGAGCGATCTGAAGGTCGAACAAGTCATTAGAGCAGCATTGAGCCAGATGGGAAGCTCTGTCGGAACAGCCGATGCCCCCGTTACAGGCTCTGAAACACGAAGATGGGCTGTCGAACACACTATCTCGCTGTCGTGGAGGATAGGAAGAGAGGTAGCCCGTGCGCGCAAGGAGAACAGAATTGACAGTGTGGCGCAATCAATCATCGACGCGGTTGGAGGCGCCGAAACAGGCCGCGCGCTTTTCAAAGGCAAGATTGTCGGTGTAGAGCGTAAGCTGTACATGGGCCACGTGTACGGCGAGGTGATCATAGAAGGCACTGGAAGCGAGTATCAAGGCAAGATCAAAATACCCTTCAAGAACGAGAACATTGCCGCGATAAGGATACCGGATGGTGAAGAGAGTAAGACTGGTGAGGAGAAGAACGAAGATGTACTCGCTATCGTTCCTGACCTCATTGCGGTCATTGATGCGCAAAATGGCGAGGCCATTGGGACGCCAGAGTATCGATACGGACTGCTAGTCTCAGTGATCGGTATCACTGCGAGTGATCGCTGGACTAGTCCAAAGGGTATCGAGATTGGTGGGCCGAAGGCTTTTGGGTTGGACCATCTAGAGTACAAGCCCCTGGGCAAGTTTGTAAAGCCTGTAAGCGTTATTGATGAGTACGACGGAAAGCAATAAGTGTTAGGTACGGAGGTTGGCAGAATGGTCTTTTATGAAGAGGCCAGTGTCTTAGGTCGTTCTTTGCATCTATGATACTTCGGCTTGCTTCGTGCCGGGATACAATGGTAAAATGAGCTTGACAGCAGCCTCGTAGCTCGTAAATAGTATACCACCACTAAACACCGTGCGCCCTAGTCTCATCGTTGTGCCTTTCCAGAATCCTTTGATACCATAATCCAACAACACACTCTTTACAGCCTCAGCAGTGCTTGTACCTCTTGCGCTCTGCGATCGTGTCTTAATGACATCGAAAGGCTGTGTGGAGAGCGTTGTCACAACGCCTGCTACTGATCCGTTTGCGAAGTTGACTGCGGTGTTCTGTTCGATGTTCTTGGTCTTTTCAAAGTCTTTGAGAATATTGTACGTTCCCATCCGGAATGCTGTTGCTGATGCCTGTTTGAGGGTAGTCCCTGCAAAGCCACGGTATAGACCGAGTATACCGTGCTCTTTCCAGATCGTTGCTGTCGCATGAAAACCGGAGCGAAAACGCTTTTCATTTCTGGCGTCGTCAATAAGTGCCGTTTTGATGCGTTCTGTAGGTGTGACCGCAGTGATCGATGCGATTACCCCAGCAGTCATGCCAGCCAACAGATTGCGGAGTGGCGAAAGTGTGCCAGTCTCTGGATCTGCGAAGGATAACTTGATCTGATCGAAGAAGAGAAAGCGAACAGCATCTTTGCCTACTGAACCGAAGACCAGCGCTCCGCAGCCTTTGTAAAGCGCTTTGATTCCCTCATTTTGATAAACTTGGGTCACGACGAGGAAAGGGTTTCGTGGTGTCGGTACGCCTTTCTCAGCTCTCAACTGTACACGCGTTTTCGCAAACTCGAGAGGATACTGCAAGTGGAATAAGCTACTAGACCGAGACCGGAATGCCTCTTTGGGCGTACCGAAAGAAAGCCTTCCACACCGCCAGCAATGCCGCCAGCTGCCAAAGAGACTATTGCGGGTGTGCTTTTGTCCTTGTAGTCGTCAATGATGCGCTTGGAGAGTTGTGGGCGAGCTTACATTGGCGCCTGAAACCATTTGTGTCTAGGAAAATCAGGATAAAGATGATGTTGTGATGGAAAGTGATGCGGTCGACGGGAAATATCATAGATGCCTAGGTTAGTAGCCAGCCGATAGCCGAACCAGCGGCTCCGTTCCCGACAGCCTCAGCAACACCGATGCGAAAGCGACACGTCAAAACGGGGGATTACGGCCACGAAACCATGATCGCGAGGTTGAATCCGGGTCCATACACACCCATTGAGTGTTTCAAGACCTCGAAGACGGGGCTGAACAATTCATTTATTGTACCCTGTATGATGACATCAGATCGTCAGGCAATCCATGAATGGCTTAAGGAAAGATAACTGGATTACGCCTTGAAAGATAAGGACAAATCTGCGAAACTATTTAGAGTTGATCGTCGCATTAGGTCAATCATGTCCCGCGCAACTTGACCTGACTATCTTTGTTCGCTCATTATTCATGCTACCAAGACTGAGCGCCGTTCGCCCGCAAATATATCGAGGACTTCGTCAACATAACGCGCGGCTTTGAACTCGCACTCGATTGATCGTAAGACTGAATAGCCTGCTGTGACTAGGCGGTAGCATCGTCTAACTCGAACAAACTATCGAATCGATTGTCCCTTGCCGCAGCATAGGCAACCATCTTCTCATCGCTACTATTGTCATCGCTCTCGTCTTGCGCATTGTTACTTAGCTTGCCCAGTTTCTTGAGAGCTTCGTCCACGTTCCAAGCAATTCTCTCAGCGCCTACTCTTGCTCCGACTAGGTTCGGTGCTCCGGGCCCCAGTTTCAACCCGGCGAGTCGTCCTGTCACAAACAGAGGAACATTGTCGTCCCACATCAAGTCTTCGTTCAGACATGGTAAACCGCCAATGTACTTGATTGCATATTGTTGCTGGATGCTCTGAAGGTAAGGAATAGTACGGATGTCAGACTGGATACCGGTAGCAAAGACCATATAGTCTACAGGCGGGAGCTTGAGGATTGATTCTGCCGAAGACACCTCACAGGCCCATGTTTTGGACGATTGCTCCCATTCCGCGGAATGGAGTTTGGTATAGTTATGTAGCTCGATCTTTCGACACGCGACATGCGAATCGAGAATTTTCCGGTAGCGTGGTGTCATACTGCCTCCGTTGCGGGCTTGTACAATCATATCAAAGCGCTCTACAAGCCATCATTAGTCAAGATTAACCAAGCACGAACGTTGACTGACCTTCATCTGTGTCTGCCGTCCAGAACTCAGCTTGCTTGAAGTTCCGAAACTTGCCGACCCACTCTAAATCTACGTCGAAATGTTTGACCTTAAGTGGTCCACGCATGAGCATCCACACTTTGTTGACGCCCCGCTTAATCGCCAAATCTGCGAGTTGGATGCTCGTCAAGCCGCCACCAACGATGAGCATACTCGTTAGCTGGCGAGCCTGAATTTTAGCCATCACATGAAATGGTGGAAATTGCTTAATCTGCATCGCGTGAGCAAAGCCTTCGTGTGGACGTTGAGTAGGTAGACCAGGAACGAGGGGTATCGATGGCGCATTCCCAGGACCAACAGCCAGCACAACTAGATGTGCAAAGCGTACGCCTTGGTCTGTTTCGACCCGAAATATTTTTCTCTCATCCGCCACTGCACCATCCGAGATGAAACTTCTGAGCTCTGTCTCATCAAACTTCGAAACCTTGTCATATTGGATGTCCATGACGCTCTCTTTCCTCAATAGATCCTTGCCAAGTCGATATCTCTTGATAACCTCTTCACAATGCGCATCAAATAGATCGGTACGTGGCACATAGTAATCTTTTCGATCCCTTTCATCCACATCGGGTGTGCGACCCAAAAATCGCCCTTGCGTCTTCAAGTTCTTCTTCTTTTTATGCTTGCTGACTTCCTTTCCGGCAACGCCAGGCAAAGCTTGAATGTCCTTCTCCCTCTCCTTTTCATACGTGTACCCGAGCAGTGCATCACGATCAGCGGGATCAACGTGGAAGAACATCGGACTTCGAAGGTAATCAATGTGAAAGGTTTTGAAGAGGCGTTTCCATTTGGACATCCAGTCTGCGCCATCTGCATCGAGAACCACCATGTCTATGAATTCCTCGGTTGGTAAATCATGATCGCAGCCACATTCTGAGCTACCGGGGGTGGAGGGTGGCGTTGGTAATGAGTCCTTGTTCGTTCGGTAGTTTTTGATGCTCATTTTTCGGCCATGTTTCCGGATCCAGTGGTACCGTTGGTGCTCGTCGTCTGTGAAGGTTGCCGATGGTGTGTGTTCACGGAGTCGTGCTGCTACTGCTAGGCCTGCTGGCCCGCCACCAATGATAAGGACGTCGTGAATGTGCATTGTGTTGCAATCTTAGAATACTGACTTGAAACCCTGATGAAATGTGTAGATTAAGACACCTTGAAGTACTTCGAATGTCTTGCCCATGTGAGTACCTGATGGCTAGCGTTCCAAGTTGGGCGCATCCATCATGGTGCTAAAGGTACCCGATGACGAGGACACGACTTCACTCAGACGACGGGTCGATGTCAGTGTCAGATCCCTTCGAGTGCATTTTCAATAATGCCTTGCTCGGGGACGAGTAGTCAGTCGGATGTGTGGGCGCAAGTGGAGCTCATCCTTATTCATGGGAATTTGTCTATTTTTTTTTCAAACAGCATGATATGGCTCGTGATCCTTAGGGCCCTCAGTCGTTGCAGACGTCCGCCAACTCGCAGGAGTACTCAAGCTCGACACCCGCTGTGATCTCGCGTCTTCCATCTCGATCGCACTGGTGATAAATTGTGGATCGTTGTCTTCTCTCTGTTTCCCCAGACCGCCATTCATGTCTTCTTGACTTTCTGTACGTCGGAAGATATCCCGAAAGCCTCTAGGTATTTGTTGTTGTCTGGGTTCTGGCCAATAAGCGTGGGTATGCGAGGACTGTTGCGCTCGTGTGACAGAGCTAGGCCCGTATGGACTATCCGCACTATACGTGTGCGAGTTCCAGTTTCTTAGGCCAAAGACGCGTTGAATGAGTGGATAAGTGAGGGGCAAGTTGGCGCAGAGTATAGCTGTATATGACTCCCGGAGATACCAGATCGTCCACTCAGTTCCGAATGGGTTCGTAAATGAGTAGTACTTATTGAGAACTGCAGCAACAATAGTGAATGCCCCTATGCAGAAGATCACAAACAGTATAGTCTTATTCTTCTTAGGTAGACGAACTTTGAAGAGCAGCGGCATGGGTATGCTTAGGATGATCAAATCGCTGGAAATGTTGAAGACTGCGTTGGTGATGAGATGGTTGGTTGCTGCCGAACATTGTTCTGTTATCGTAAGTATTGTGTGAACACAGGCAGCAAAGTTACTCACTCGAATTGGGAGGTACTGCCCAATATTGGTTGAACGGCCTGCACCAAACCCCAAGATACAGTACTTCCATGACCACGAATGCGACAGCGACGTAGATAGAGGTAGCGACGACGATTTTGTGTTGCGGCAGAACGAGCGTCATTCGGTTGTACATTATGAGCAAGCAGGCCTTGACCAACCATATCGTAAGGAGTTGCATCTGCTCTACTACCAAGACGAGCTTGGACCCGTACACACGCATCTTGATCTCAGCCTTGGAGTATTGAGAGACATCGTCTCCAGGCGGTATCAAGTTGCCTAAAGTTTGACATAAGAAATCAGCAGATGTCGCACTTGTAGATCATACATGGAAATTACGTACTACTAGTCTTTGCAATTTGATGCATGATAGCGATAAGCACTGTGTCTGTAGCCTTAGGTATCGATCAGCACCTACAGTCGTTCAACGTTGTGAATCACAAACCATAGCTACAAGAATTAGGTAATCATCCAATTGTAATGACTTCCATGATCCACGGTGTATTCTTCGCGAAATAAGTCGAATAATGACAACGACCCAGCAAACGCCATAGAAGATTCCAGCTTCGGGGTCGAGCACTCCCGACATGGGTATTTGGTTGGCTCGAGAGCCGAGGGAGTTGTGAAGTTCAGGAGTTGGGCCAGCAAATGGCGACTAGTCCGGGATTAGGTTGCTCAGGGCTTTGGTGGCTGTTAATTAAACGTAGTTGAAAGTATCGTGTATAGGTTTTGAGGAGCGATAGGGACCACGAGGGCTTGGAAAACAAAATAGATCGTCGAGAAAAAATGCCGAGCGCCCGGTCAGCAGCCGTGTTGTGAACCACGGGTGCAATATCGTGAAAGGCGGGAGTGAATTCAGCAATCACTCGGCATTACTTTGTGATGTCGGGGGCTTTTCGTCACTGGTAGCTTCATTGACAGTTTGATGGGCGCTCTGGGATGTTGCTTGGAAATGGCGCTCTGGGGTATCGTTGTGGGCGGTCGCTCTGGGGTGGTGGCGTAGTGTTCCAAGTGGAAGTATTTGGGCTGAGGAGACAGCGCTCAGAAACTGAGATCCCCCGGACCCCAAGATATCAGGCTAGACACCAAAAGTGTCGCAAGCGCCACTTTTAACGGAGCTGTGCGTTCTCAATGATCTGCGCAATCGACTAGAGACGGACGTCGAGCTTCGACACTTGTGGGACCGGCGGTAGCGTTGGATTGGATGACGCGCTCCCGACAGCCTCAACCCAGGGCTGAGTCGTCCAATTCAAAGTCCGCGGTAATATCGCAATGTTGGTTTCTGACCGGAAACCTTTTGCGACGTTTTGTGGTACGATTGAAGAAGAAATGTTACAGCAAGTCAAATTCGTAACGGGGTTTTCGGCGCTGCTTCGGTGATTTTGCAGTGATGCAAAGTGCGACTTCAGGCGACCAGTATTCATATCGTGAGTATCTTATACCAGCCGTTAACAATGTCCCTGCGGGCTTGACTCGACGAGAATTTCCCTGTGACATTGCAGCGGAAAGGCTAATGCTCCAGGAAACTTTCGCGGCGCGTGTCAGCTCGAATGAGTGACATGTTTGCGGGCCGGGCGGCAGCGCTATTTGACGCCTTTTGGGGGGCTTAGGTTAGCCAATTGGCGGGCCGTGGCCGTGAGCGTTCAACTCACCACTCACCACCCGCACAATTATCGGCCTTGTTTCAGGCGTTCAGTATGAAAAGTAGGGAAAATCGCTCAGTTACAACAAGCTTTCAGAAACCTTGTCGCAGATAAAGACGAAGGAAGAGCGCTGTCATGGGCACGCTTGGCGAAGGCGGTGTCTCCGCCTCACAAGCAGGGGCGAACGGAAGTAGCAGTGCGACGTCGGACACAGTCAGCTCAAAAACCCTGGAATGCAGGCACAGTAACCATGAGGTACGTCCGCACAGCTGACGACTCTTTACTACTATCATTGTCAGCTATCAAACTTGCAATGCCCAGCGAAGAGGCAAGAAACTCACTAGAAAAGTATTCAGAAGAAAATGGGAAAGGCATGCTTGTTTAGCAGCCATGATAGCGAGGCCAACACGCAGATGATCCTGAGAACGTTAAAACAAACATGTGCGGAGAGCGCAACGAGGACCAAGACCGCGACCAACAAGATGCAATCCTTGAACGCTTTGAGCGAAGGTGCGGCCGTCATCTAGCGAGCGACATTGCCGTCGCCTTTCTTTATTCACGGAGCAAGGCAGTAAAGCAAGTCATCGACACGCGAGTTGGACTTCATACCACCATACCCGTTAGGTCGGGGCCAGTGCTATCTCCATCAAGAAAGGCTTGAACAATCACGACCTCTGCCCAAGTCCACAAGATATAGACCGGATTCGATTTAGGCTTCTACAGCTTGATAAAGATCAGAAATCAGTCGGATCAGGCGATGACAGCACTCTCAGGGACCAGTGCTACAACGCCAACGATAGGGATCTGTTGAATGTACTCCGATAACGTACACTGATCTACCAATACTAGCGCAGCTGTAGGATAGCAGTGAAGGCAAAGAGGAAGAGACGATTGGAAGAAGATGAAGACGTGGGTCTTGGGAGAACAACGCGCACCCGCCTGCTTCGCTGAGACGTAATCTTCTACCGCCCACACAGCAAAGTCCAAGAATCGACACAATACCGTGGCCTATGGCTTCGTCTTACTACATGGACTGGAGTATGGACCATCCTGTCTGTATTGTCGAACTTGCTGTACTCCAAACATCTATATTCCTATTGTATACAATTGTGAATACCTGCAGGATACACCTTAGTAGTTGCCAAAGGAGACACAGGTCAGGAAACCCGAGCTTCCTTACATAAGGCTCTTCGGTTGTTTGTGTCTGGTCGGCTTTTCAGAGCAGGGTCACTCGGCATTGAATATTCAACGTAGCCTTGGTTTACAGCATCGATACGTCCTACGGATAAGCTTTGATCAGCAGCATCTATGGGGTAGGCATTAGCGATGGGATCGACGGGCGGGATAACAGTTCATTGTGTGCTACTTGGCTCAAGATCAGTAATCCGCGATCAAAGCAAAGCAAGCGTATCACTGGAGTCGCCTGCAAAGTAGCAGCTCTTAGAACAATTTGCAAAAGATTACAATTGAGCATGAGCTGCTGAACTTACAAGGAAGGCATGCTCGTAGCTACGGTAAGCAATTCTCGACTGTTCGGCAGTGTCACCACGGCGATACCAAGGCGGAGCTTATCGCTCCTCCAACGCCATGTGGGAACCCACGGATGAGGCCGTTGTACGGAGGTCTATACCTGATGAAGCATGTCCAGCCGTATCGCAGTGTTGTAGGACGTAAACCTTAGCGCTAGATATCGGAATGATTCCGTCAGAGCACCCGTGGATCCCCAATCTTGGTCAACGCAAACACAAACACAAGCAGGCTGCTTGTCTTCATCACCTACGAGTTTGACAGATACTCCTACGCCCGTGTCATGGTACAAGATGCTATCTATTGAACATGCAGTTGCCTGACCTCCTAGGGTCATCAAAGACAGCTTCTTCGCAATGTGTCTTGAGCTCGCGTGCCCCTGCCGGCCCGCGATCTCCTCCACACCTCCTACTGTCTAGGGTAGTCTAGCCGAACGCCGAACCGTGCACTGATAAAGAGATAGCATCTCGCTCGTCGTCATTCGCCGCGCAAACGCCTATCACCCATACTAATGGGTTATGACGCTGCTTTGGGCCGCTGCCCATGTGTTGCAGCATGGCTTCGCGTGTACTCTCCCGCTTGGTGTAGGGACACCCCGCTTACGACCCTGCTGCACAATGATATGCAGACTGGGGTATGGGCGTATATAGACGAGTTGCTGCACTTTGCGCGTTGCTAGAGTTCTAGTGTACCGGTTCGTGTCGCGATCTTTTCATTAGTCGGGTGCATTCTTCGACTGCGACTGCGACTGCGACGACGACGACGACAACAACAACGCGCGTATGCGTTTTCCCTTGCAACAATGACGACTTCCCACCATCGGAACCCCTCCGTCGCGGAAGAACCTGTGACTTCTGTTCTTCCAGACGGCGACATACCTTACGATCCCACGCATTCTTTGAACCCGGATGAAGAGGTTCTGGCGTCACTTGGTTACAAATCCGAGTTCAAGAGAGAATTTTCCCTCTTTACCACATTCTGTGTCAGTTTCGCAGTTCTGGGTCTACTGCCCAGTTTCGCATCTACACTGTATTATGGCATGGGCTATGCAGGGACAGCTGGCATGACCTGGGGTTGGATCGTAGCCATGATAGGAATTCAATGTGTGGCTATGAGTATGGCGGAGCTGTGCAGTAGCATGCCGACGAGTGGAGGGTTATATTATGCTTCTGCCGTCCTAGCACCACCTGGTTGGGGGCCTTTTGCTGCGTGGCTCACTGGTTGGAGTAACTGGCTCGCTCAAATTACAGCGGCACCGTCCGGCAAGTACAAAACCGTCATCCCTTGTTGATGATTATGGGCAAAGAGTTGACTGTTTGAGCAGTCAATTATGGAATTGCGGCCATGATACTTGCAGCGGCTAGTATCAACGACCCATCTTACGTCCCCACAGACTATCAGACGTTCTTGCTAACCGTCTTTATCATGATACTGCATGCCATTCTTTCCTCGATGCCGACGCGCTGGCTCGCACAATTCAATTCTGCTGGTTCGACATTCAACTTCATCGCGCTCGTTGTCGTCATCATCATGATACCAGCCGGCACAGACCGCACAGAACGTGGCCTTCCTCGTTTTGCTCCTTCGAGCGAAGTTTGGGGCACGATCTATGAGGGAACATCCTTTCCAGCCGGCATCTCAGTTTTGATGTCCTTTATCGGCGTTATCTGGACTATGTCCGGCTACGATTCACCGTTCCATCTTGCGGAAGAATGCTCTAATGCGAACATCGCTTCTCCGCGCGCTATCGTCCTAACGTCGGCCACCGGGGGTATATTTGGCTGGTTCCTGCAGCTGGTTGTTGCATACACTGTCGTTGATATCGACCTGGTCCTTGACTCGGAGCTTGGGCAGCCGTTCGCCGCGTACCTGATGCAGTGTATGTCGCAAAAGATGACATTGGCCATCCTTGCCCTAACCATCATCGCGGGGTTCAGCATGGGTCAAGGGTGTATGATTGCCGCAAGCCGAGTCACATTCGCCTATGCTCGTGATGATTGTTTCCCTCTGAGTAAGTACTGGAAGAGAGTCAACCGACATACTCAAACGCCTGCAAACGCCGTGTGGTTTAACTGCGCAGTCGGTATACTGTGCCTGCTGCTCATCTTTGGTGGAGAGTTGGCAGTTGGAGCGCTGTTCTCGATTGGCGCTATTGCAGCTTTTGTGTAGGTTTATGTCATCACAGTAGGATTTCTCTGCTGACGGTGGATAGCGCATTTACTATACCAATCTTCATCCGCGTCTTTTTCGTAGGGAACCGTTTCAGACCGGGTCCCTGGAACCTAGGGAAGTACTCTAGCGCAATTGGCAGCGTCGCATGCGTGTTCGTCTTGCTTATGATACCTATCCTATGTTTCCCCAGCGTAACCGGAGCAGACTTGACGTAAGGCCCAACAGAACTTTGGTATTATCCCGAAAAGACTAACATATTTGCAGTGTTGCAGACATGAATTGGACATGTGTTGTCTACGGTGGCCCAATGTTGTTGGTAACGATATGGTGGTTCGTTTCAGCGCACAAATGGTTTAAAGGACCGAAGGTAAACATTGAGCACATGATGCTCGGACGAGAAGAGGCTGTGGTTGTCGGACAGGGGTCGGTAGACGGGAAGGATGGCGATAGCTCGTTGGGGGATGTAAAAGCGCCAGAGAAGATTACCAAATCGTGAGTAGAGGCTTCTCTGTTGGTACATGATGCGTCTGTTGCCTTGGGCGAGAGGCGCAAGAGAAGAGGTTTGCAGAATTCGAGCAAATGGACCTATGTCGCTATCGTGCTATAATCTATCTCATGTCAGCTACGACTATGTATGGAGAACATCCCGTACTAACCTCAGATAGCAGCTAGCGCGACAATGATGAGCGCCACAGCCTGTTCCTGAATGCCTCCTTGCCTATTCTCTACATCGTTGTAGATGTCTCGAGAGTCCCGATATGCTGTTGAACATGGGAGTTATCCGAAGATCGTGTGATAAGGGCACCAAACGGGCAATTGCTATTACGAGGACTACACTAGGCAACTCGCCAATCACGCTTGGCCGCGTGACGTCGTCAATCTCTGATGGCTGTAGGTCATACAAAGATGGACGTTGGAAACTAGATTTCTCGACAGTTAGATGACTGCGCACGCCTTACAGGAACACGGACGATGCTAAAAAAAATCGAATACATTTCTAATTAGCGGAACAAGCGGCGTGCTATGCGTCTGTATACAATGGACCTGCACGCTGCTGGAAATCTCCACTTGTGGAAAACCCGACTTGTAAACGCCAACGCTGGATGCCTTACTATACAGTACAGAGAGAACCACCTCCAACCAACATTGCCTTTGATATCAAGTCCTCTGCCACTTGTACCAACAAAAATTGGCCCCCTTCGGAATCCTAGAAGACTTGATCAGGCAGCAACATCCAGCCCCGCCTTCTTCAAGCCGTGCAGAAACTGCTCTTTAACATCCCCCTCGCCACTCGCCCCTTGGTCTACCTTGTCTTTATCATCAACCGGCAGCGCATTGAGCTGCGCCATCATCATCCTCTCCACGGCTTCAATACCAGCTTCCTCCGCTTTACTCAATCCACCCGCGGCCGCGGCATCGTCCTTCTTCTTCCCCTTACCCTTCGCCCCATCGTCCGTATCTTCACCCTGAACCATCTTGTCCAATTCTAGTTTACTCACACCGAGCGCATAAATCTGCTCCTCGACCGTGCCCTTAGTGACTAGTCTGACCACCTCTACCTCTCTCGTCTGACCAACACGATGCGCACGATTCTCTGCTTGGATGTCATCCTGGGGATTGAAGCTCGAGTCGAAGATGATGACTTTGTTGGCGCAGGCGAGGTTGATGCCCGCTCCACCGCTCTTAGTGCTGATCATGAAAAGCTGGATGGATTCGTCTTGGTAGAAGACGTCCATGAGCGACTGACGTTCTTGAATTGGGGTAGAGCCGTCCATGCGCATGAAATTAATGTCGTGATCGTCAAAGACCCAGCCGAGGATATCCATAACTGAAGTGAATTGGGAGAAGACTAGTGCACGATCACCGTTTTCTTTGTACTTTTTCAACAAAGCAAGCAGTGCAGAAACTTTGCCAGAGTCCATCCATTCGTGGTCTTTGAGCTCATATTTCTTAAGAGCACGATACTTGGAGGCGAGTTGGTGGCATTGGTAGTCTTGATACAGCTCTAGCTCTTCGTAGATGATGTCTGGATTGCTTTCGGCAAACATGTCTTCCTTAAGGCAGGCTTTGGACATCTTTCGGATCTTATCGTTGTTGTATCGATGACGGAAGAGTAGGGGGTGTATGGCTGCTTGCCGGAGCTTCATCATGACGTTGGCGTGGTCCTTGACGGGTATGCCTGCCGCTCGGTCTTCAAGGATCTTGCGCTGCTTGGTCAGTTGCTCGTTGTAGAGCGTCCTCTGTGTATCGGTAAGATCGCAATACTCGACGCGAGAAGTCTTCTTCGGCAGGTGCTTGAGCACCTGTACCTTCTTTCGCCGAAGGATGAAAGGCGTCAGCATTGTACGAGCGCGTTGGATACGCTGCGCAGACAGCAAAGAGCTATGTGAATCGCTCTCCATCGTCTTGGCCTTGTGTTTGAATAAGATTTGCAACATCTCCTGAACCTCCTCCTGTTGATCGCCATAGAATACTTGTGGCATCAGGAAACCCAGGATTGACATGAGCTCTTGAAGACTATTTTGAAGTGGAGTTCCTGTCAACAAAATCCTGCAAGTCGCTTGAATCTTCATCAGACTCTTATAGCGGATCGTGTTGGCGTTCTTAAGCATATGCCCTTCGTCAAAGATGCAAATTTCGGGCCTGCACTTTCTAAGGAAAGCCAGGTCCTCCTTCCTGAAGGTAAGATCGTACGTCGTAATGATCACGTCGCACGTCCTCTGCTTGATATTATGAAGAATGCTCTCTTGATGAGAGAACCGCTCCGCCTGTGATCCATAGTACGGCGTAAAGTTGATCGTCTTGGAAAAGCGCTCAAACTCACGACACCAGTTCTCCAGTGTCGAACCAGGAACGACAATAAGCGCAGGCTTCCCCTCGTCTTGCTCTTTAAGATGTGACAGGAATGCGATGATCTGGCAGGTCTTTCCCAAACCCATATCGTCGGCCAGAATACCCGAAGTTTTCGTCTTCCATAGGAGATTCAGCCAGTTGAGGCCTACGACCTGGTAGTCTTTGAGTTCAGTGTCTTCGTTCATATTCGCGGGTTGTGTCAGGAGTTTCGTGCGAGTAACCGCCTTTCGTATGTTCTTAGACTCGGTATCGCTGCCATTGGCACTCCGAGGGGTATGGTAGCCTGAGTCACGAGAAGAGTTTGTGTCGCTACTATCGTCCAGACTCGTCAATTCAACACCATCTTCTGTAGAAGCACCAAAGATATCAATACCCCACCGTGCCATGCCTGCAACCATTGGCTTGCCTAGAGCTTCGCATTGTTGAACAACAGAATCAATCGTAGAGTATGCATTCCACATGCCCTCGGTAGATTCCACAAGGCGTTGGCCAGTCGTTATGCGTGGCTTGCGCGCCTTCTTCTTTCCCTTCTCCACTGGCGTAAGATCCACATGGACCTTGCGAACAGCGTCAAGAGAGGCAAATGGACGCTGCTTGAAGATCTCCTTGATGTCATCTTCTTTGTGGCTTGACAAGTCGACCATGGCTTCCACAGTACAGGTGTTGAAGAAATTCAACAAGGCACTCTCATCAAAGTTATTTTCCACCACTGAACCACCTGCATCCGAGTCATCATCCACAACAAGATCCGCAGCAATACCCTCATCCTCATCGGAAGAGACAACAATCGGCGCTTCCTTCTTCGGTTGATGTTGTGGTCGTTGGGGTATGGGCTCCGGTGAGGGCGAGAACACGGCCTTCTTGCGATCCTTGCCGCTCTTGAGTCGGCGCTTCTGTTTCGGTTGCTCCTTCTCAGGACTATCAATCTTGACTGGGCTGTTTTGGGTGGCACCTAGCTTGGAGTACTTGTTCTGTAGTGATTGCACAGGCTGCTTCAACCCGCGTTGCGCTGTCTTCTTCACGACTGGCGCTGAGATCTTACGGGCTACTCCTGGTGGAGGAGAGGAGCGGAGCAGCTCGTCCTCTGACTCTTGGTCCGCCAAATACTCGGAAGCATCATTGAAATTGCCCTTCCTCTTAGTCAAGGCGTCATGCAGCTGCTTGACAGAGCGATTAGGGTATATAGCCCTCAGTCGATTGACCTTGGCATACATGCCCAAGTCATGAATATCCTCCATGGTCATTTCCTTCTCTTCCGTCAAGTCTATAGGTATAGCGCGCGAAGGGCCTCCTTGCTGCATAGGCTTCTGTCGCTTGGGTGGCGTACTCGAACCGTATTGTTCTGCCGACCGTTTACGCGACTGATCGCTGCCGTATTTGAAACTAGACAGATCCCAAGTCGGCTTCTGTGGTGTCTCCTCAATCCGCGATGTCATGGACATCTCAATCTTGGACAAGGGTATGTTGCTCCTGTATTCCGACTCGTCCTCGTCCGGGTCGCGCTCCACAGGTGGATCGTCCGAGGTCAAGTCGACGACTGGCTTGCGAACGGCCTGCGGAGGGAAGAAGCCTGTGCCTGGGGGTGCCATTGGATTGCTGTAGCCCCCATATGGGCGTTGCGACTGCGAAGGCGACATAACAGGCGGCGAGGAACGCTGAGGGGCGGGCGAGGAACGCGGGACTTGTAATTGCGACGAGGAAGCTGCGGGCTGGACTGGGTGGGCGCGTGGCGTAACTATAAGCGTGGGTTGCGTGCTATCAGACGGCGCCGCAAAGAAGGGAGAACGCTCCCCGAGGATTTGCGTAGGCTGCGTGACGTAGGTGTCTCGGTCCTCGTCGCTGTGGGGAGAAGCGCGCGATGCGACTGGCGGCGGTGAAGACGAAAGTATGGGATCGCGGCGATACATTTTGTAGCAGTAACTATGGCAGGCAGTTGAGCTGAACGGCGGACGTGGTGGTGGTGGTGACGGTGGTATCGCAATCGACTTTTGCCGCCTCGTTCGCACAAGTAGTAGAGCAGAGCAAAGGAAGACGCAGAAAACAATGGCTCAGGCGAACAAACAAAGGCGAAGGGTACTGGACAAAGCAGAGGGCGTAGCCGTACAGACTAAAACACCTGGTCTCCGGAGCGCAGGGAGGGAAAGAAGGGTTTGCCTTGTGACGGGCATGACCAAAAACAATTCACGCGTTCCGAGAACCACTTTACGCGTTGAGAGATTCTTGAGCTTGGACCTCCCCTGCCCTGAGCCTGTTCAATTACGTTACTCGATTCGGCTCAGGCAGGGCCCTGTCAGTCACTCACGGACAGAACACCACGACACATCAACGACTAGAAAAATGACGACCAGACGGATTGTCAACGAGGAGAAGTCGTCTCTAGACTACGATGGGAAGGGCGCTCCCGAGCCGTCCAACACCTCTCCAGCAGTGCCATCGTGAGTCGCCTTTAGTAGAGACTAGTACTGCGACTGACAAGAACCACAGATCGGTTATCTGGAAGTTGATGAGCTTCACCTTTGCCATGATCACGCTGCCTATCGGCACGTACTTCTTCACTGTCAACTTTGTCTTCCAGGGTGAGTTGTTCCTGTGTGTCGTGAAATAGGACGTATTGACTTTCTCTAGGCAACGCAACATGGGCGGGTGGTTTGGCAGCACTCATGGCAAATGTTGTCTTGATCGCATACGTTGTCATGGCATTCAAGGATGACCAGGAAGAGATGCGGGAGGAAGCGGAAAAGTCCAAGAAGAAGTTGTGATTCTTGCTGGTGCATGGAAACCAGGGTTGCAATGCATGCTAGGAGAAGCCATTCCAAGGAGCTTGTTCTTGCGAGTTGTACTATGAGTACCAGAATCTACTCTGAAGATACACACAAACTTCTGTGTCACGTCTCACGAAAACGAGCTCCTTGTTATGGAAATACAATAGGAGACTTAGTGTGAGATCATCACGGCATCACCACAATCAGATGAAAATGTCAATGTTGCTCATCAAACCATTATGATTACCACATTACCAGCCACTCAAAGAGCAAGCTTCTACTGTAGCGGCACCTTCCAAACCTACAAGGAGTGACAATCGCGGTATATACCCTTTCCGCATCCCCAAAACGCCGTAGAAACGCCATCATGCTGTATACGCAGGGTGGCGTAACAGTGGTTCGACCAGAGGACTCCAGAGCCCATGGTGAAGACATTCATTCATCATCATGGCAAGCCCGCGTCGTAGAAGCTAGCCGATGTACTTCTTCCACCTGGCCTTCAACTTCAAGGTCTACTCTTTGCTGAATCGCCTCTTGAACCAGCTCTTGCGCTTGTCGCCTGCATCGCTGCTCTTCTTAGACAGCATGGCCGGCCTCGTGTTCTCCGTAGCTGGTGGCCCGCCGCCGCCGCCGAGTTTGATTGGTGCTGCTTGCGCGGCATGTTTCGGGGGTGGTGGTGCCATGCCGTGGGCTGGCGGTGGTGGCCCCTGTGCATACTCCTCCATAATGGGGCCTCTTCCGAATCCATTGAACCCGTATTGTGAGCCCATCTCTTGTTGTGGTGGTTGCACGGGGATGCCTCTTTCAATGGAACTGTTCTCGCTATTGCTTGGATCGTTTGAGTATGGGCCGTCGCTGTGGCTTCCATTCGAGCCGTTGGTGTTTACTGTGTCGCGCGACTGTTGGTAGCCGTTCATGGGGTAAACACCTTGCTGGCTTTGTCTCGTGTTCCATCCCGGGTCAGACTGCATGCGGTTGCCATATCGCAACCGCGGTGGTCCGCCCACAGGTCCACCCTGCCCATAGCCATCGGCGTAGCTGTCACGCTGGGTTTGTCTTTGGGGAAAGTAGCCGCCGCCGGTCGAGAAGCGGTTCTGGTCGTTGTATCCGCCGCCGCCGCCGCCGCCGTAATAGCTGCTCCGTCGGCTTCCGTAGCCGCTCATGACATCAGTCTGGTCGGCGCGCATTGATTGGGCGCGTCTTCTGTATTCGCCATCAATGGCAGCCTCAAATGAGCGGATTGTGTCGAGCGGGCGCTCCCATCGCGAACGTGTGGGGTTGGAGAGATCGGGATCGGCTGAGGACGATTAGACGACGATGGCATGGCATACAACGGGGATAGGACAACTTACCAATGGGGTTACCGGCCGTGTCGGTATGCTGGAACGAGCGCAGAGAGGCGAGGGTGGGCTTGGTGAGGGCCTCAGCGACTGGGCAGGCGGTTAGCAGAGTGCATGTGAGTGCGGCGATAAGCATGACTTACTGGGCTGCAGCTCATTCATGGCGGCGGTGGGGGTCGCCTTTGAGTTTGGATCGTAGTGGTCGCTGGCCTTTCTTTCGTGCTTGGTTTTGGACGGGCTCTTGGGGGTTGCGTTGTCGCGGCTCTTGTTGCTCTTGTTACTATGAAAGCTGAGACCGCGCGGGCGCGATTGCTGGTGTGTCGCTTGCTCCATTGTCACAGCGTCGGGCGATACCCAGTTTTTTCTGCGGAAAGTCTAACAAGCTACGGCCAACGAGGCTGGTGAGCGGGTATTGCGGAGCTTGGTGGGAGCGCGATGTGCACGTAGCGCGCGGCGTGGGTACTGCAATGAATAGCTGAGACGACGGGCGCGACGTCGCAGAAGCAAACAGGTAGGGTCAAGAATGCAGTGACGATGCAAGTGATGAAGATGTGGAGTGAGACGGAGAGTTGAGCGGGCTAGAATGGAATAAGCTCGAGTGCGCAGCTCGACGCGCGGTGGCCTCTTTCACGTTGGGCACTCTTCGTCATCAACGGCGCGGGCTATGCATCCCGATTGGACTCTTAGCCTATGCACGACTTCTGAAACGCGCAAGCTGGAGACCTGCCAGGACACGGTGCAAGCCTATCTCTTATCGCCCTCTCTGCTGCTGTGCATATGCCATCTGTTCCCCAGCCTTCACCACCCGCTTCACACGTCAATTGACCTGCCAGGACGTCGACAGCTACATGTTCTGCACAGCCTACCTCGCCACCAAACGCCCTCGTATCCAGGCAGCTCCCGTTAGCATTAGCAAATTTAGACAGCTTCAATAGTCTTGCTGTTCTATGCGGTCTAGCTCCCCGCCAGCGCCAGCCATCCCCATCATCTCCAACCACAACACAACACAGCAGCACAACACTACACTATTCACTCTGCTGCATCCCACACACTTCAAACAGCCACCTGTCAACCGACTGCACTGCACAGTCTGCCCACGACTGCACCGCATCTGCTTACATATGATACTCGTTCTGCATCTCGCACCAAGTACAGCTTCCCACGAATGCTGGGTCCGGTACACTAGCTACAAGACTAGCCGTATAACCGGATGCTGCATGAAATCGCATTGGCAAGCCTGCATTCTGCCGCTTTCGAAACGCGTAAAATACCACTCAAGACATGTTAGAGATCTGCATCTATACAAGTGCCACCTCGAATGCAAACATCATTATGACATGGGTGATGCGCGGGTATGTGGCTACTGTCATCGCCTGTTGTTCGGAACCCTGTTCCAAGCCACACGGCGGGTTTTGACCGACATTTCGTCCCGATTGAGACTCATCAACATGGCCCTCACGCGCTGACATGCTTCATTCATTCATGATTCCAACTTGGTTTTTTGTGTTCCATGATATTCGCTAATTCGTTTCTCTCTGTCCTGTCATCTAGCTGTGTGTAGGCATGTTGACCGACGCCTTCGTCGCGACGGCATCTTCACTCCTCCACAGACTTGTCACAGTCTTCTGCTGTGTGTAGAATTGTAGACCAGGCTTACCGTAAAACGTGTTCGCACCACCGCCCGCAACCGACTTCTTGTTACCAGTGAAGGAGAACATGGGGAGCTGGCTAGTATCAGTGTGTGTGCCTAATGCTGCTGATTCAAGAGAAACTTACAGGTACAGGAATGGGCACGTTGATGCCAACCTGACCGGCCTCAATCTCACGCTGGAAGCGGCCAGCGGTCGCACCCGAGCGAGTGAAGATGGCGGTACCGTTACCGTACTCGTTGGCATTGATCATGTCAATGGCTTCGTCGATGGTCTCGACGTTCAGGCAGACAAGGACAGGGCCAAAAATCTCCTCAGTGTAGCACTTCATATGCGGCTTGACGTTGGCGATGATGGTAGGACCAACCTACAAAGTACTGTCAGTGCAATGTCAACATCACACTTTCAAAAGACTTACCCAGTTGCCGTTGGCGTACTTGTCAGACGGGGGCTTTTGACCACGTCCGTCAAGGAGGATAGTTGCTCCCTCCTCCTCGGCGCTCGCAATGAGGTCTTCAATCCTTTGCTTCGACTGTGGGCTGATAACAGGCCCGAGATCCGCACCCTCCTCGAAGCCACCGTTCATAGAGAGTTCTTTTGCGCGCTCGGCGATTTCGGGGACCCAGTCCTTGGTCTCACCGATCATGACTAGAGTGCTTAGAGCCATGCATCGCTGACCAGCAGCACCAAAGGCAGCTCCGGCAATAGCGTTCAACGCATGGTTCTTGTTGCAGTCGGGAAGGACAGCAGCGTGGTTCTTCGCACCTAAGTTGGCCTGAACACGCTTGCCTTGAGCCGAGGCACGCGAGTAGATGTACTCTCCAGCCTTGTTGCTACCGACGAAGCTAATCGCCTTGATGCGAGGTTCGTCGATGATGAAATCAACCGTCTTAGCCGCACCATGTACAATGTTGATGACGCCCGGAGGGAAGCCAGCCTTCTCAGCAAGCTCTGCAAGTATCATGCAAGCACCGGGGTCGCGTTCCGAGGGCTTGATAACGACAGTGTTACCGGTAACAGCGGCGATGGGGATGGTCCAAAGGGGAATCATGGCAGGGAAGTCTGTTGTAGCACATTAGTACAAACCTCATCTACCACCAGTCGTATACTCACTGAATGGGCAGATGGCAGCCACAACGCCCAATGGCTCTCTGTAGCTGCGTGTCTCCATGTCCTTGGCGACCTCGAGGACTTCGCCAGTCATCTGTGTCGTGATACCGCAGGCAGTCTCAGCAACCTGTAACCCACGGAGCACATCACCACGTGCATCCGCGAATGTCTTGCCCTGTTCCAATGTAATGCTAGCAGCCAACCGATCCCAGTTCTCGCGGATCAAGTGTGTGTATTTGAACAAGATCTGCTGCCTGTGAAGCAAGCTAGTCTCCTTCCATGGCTTGAATGCTTTCTCAGCGCTGTCCACGGCGGCCTTGAGCTCCTCATCTGTGCTCTGGGGCACGCGTGTCACCAGGTTGTTGGTCGCGGGATCATGCAGATCAATCCATTGTGTCGCTTTTGAAGCCACGAACTTGTTGTCGACAAAGTTTTGTGTGTCTGCAGGCGATTGAATTGGCTCGTGGTTCATGGGGTACGACTCAGTCGCTGCAGACGATGCTGGCTTCAGGTGCTGAGCAGTGGCGTGCAGCCGCCGTGCGGCAACTTTACTTTGGTTGACTGGCGACGACATTCTGGCACATAGAGGAGCTGCGCGAGGAAGAGACGAGCGGGCGGTCAGTCTTGGGAGGCGTGCGAGCGCTGTGCGGGAGAACATGGTGCAAGTCAATTGCCGGGTGTGCGGAGCAACGCAAGACACAATTGAAGTTGGACAAGTTCTCTGGGTAATCAAGACATGGAAATTGAACGAGATTAGAGAAGAGTCCACGTCGCTTGCGGCTGTTAAGGGAAAGCGATTCCGAGCTGCCTTTTGGGAGCTGTTGCCGGAGCTTTGGAGCTGGGCCCCACTCCCCCTCCCGAGGTCTATGGATATCGAAGGCTTATCCACAACGCCCTC